AGGCCTGGCGCAATGTGGTTCATGGGGTCACGAAGAGTCGGACACGACTTAACGACTAAACAACAACAACAAACTACAATGTCCATATGCTGACAAAATGTGGCTCAAATAAAATCCAATTTATTGTTACAATCAAAGATCAGTAATACTAAAAAGTTGAACAAGGAGAATAAAATTAAATTAGTAAAATTAATATTAATAGGATAGTAAAATTGATAAAATAAGTCCAGGCTGGAAATTTTATCACATTTGTACTAAACGTTGCCACATCTTCATTGCAGCCACACAGAATTTGACTACTGTATTGGTATTAGCATAGCTGGAATCTGAGAGAAGATTGGTATAGTATTCTTCTGTTCTTCCTGGGAGGTGTTGCAGAAGAGGTGATATGTAATCTATATGCAGATCCCTGAAAAAATTGCAGTGAAACAACACATGGTGGATAGTTTCTATTTCTCCATAGGCAGATATGTTCTATTGATGGAATGTTAGTAAACCTGACCTGTAATAGTGTCAGTAGTAGCACACAGTGTCTGGCTCTAAAGAAATACTTCCTTAGCCTGGGGAAGGTCACTGATAGATAACTTGCAAGTTGCCTCTCAGTATCAGGCTTCTGGTATTCTGGGAGAAGGTGCTAGCTTCAATTTGATACTCGAGCAAAATGTTGTTAATTTTTACTAGGTTTTGCTGATATTTGCCAACTTCAAATAACCAACTTCAAATAACCCAAGACATGGGTTATAAAGTTGGATTGCATAAGCAAACATAATTAAGCGTAAACATAATTTGATATTCAATATATGCTAATTGGTTATTTAATTATGTCCTACTGGAGATTGTTTAGATAAATGTCTGGATCTACCGATTCTAGTGACATCTGAAGGTCTTCCAGTGATATTCCAGTGACCTCCTTGATCCCATTCAACCATCTTATCCACTATTTCTTCTATGTACCAAGAATATTTTTTAGTCCACTGTCCACTTATACCACATGTCCAGATATGCTAATAGGGATATATAAAACATTTTGAACTTGGAAATGTTGTTCTGAGTGTTTTTATGTTTGGAACAAAACAATCAGTATTCTGGAGTTTTATCCCAATCTAGGATAAAAGGGGCATTTCATATTTCCCTGTTGTTTCAAATGTTTCCAGATCCTATATTTTTTTTCCAAGGCATGAAAATGTGAAGCATGCATTAGCCAATAAAACAGCAGGCACTGCTGCTTCTGGCTGACTTAGTTGATGCAGGAGGACAGTCAGTTAAGCATATAATTCTCAGAGAGTTAAGTACATAATTGAGAATAATCTTAAACTTTTGTTTCATGAGACAAAGCACCAGTTGGATGCCACACATGGATTTGGCAACTGACATTCACTGATGTCAATTACTGGCTCTCTAGTTGGTCTCCCGCTTAGACCATTCCCTACAGTCTAGTTGGGGGAGATATAACTGACTCCTTGTCAATTAACAAATATTATTTGTGGGTTGCTTGAATATTGCAGATGGAATGTTCCATACCACCTCATTAAACCAACAGAAGTTTACTATTGCTGTATGTTCTGAATGCTTTCTTTTTCAGGCAAATTCTGAAATCCAAAAGTGTGCTATGTACATGGACACAGTACATACCACAACTTAAACTACAACACAGCAATGCTTTGTTTGTTGAAGTGTGCAGGAAGGGGAAATGGAAAAAGTGTCCATTGGGCAAAGAAATGTATTAAGAAGAAGCCTCAAAGCTAATAGCCAGAAAAGTGCAGCTTTGCTTAATTCTGTTCATGGGTTGGACAGCGCTGATCCTTTAGTGGGTCCGGTTTCAAAAAACCTACTTAACTCTTGCCTCTGTTGTTTGATATTAGAATTATAAAAAAGCTTTAAATTTCCACTGGCCATTTTTTTTTTGTAAGTGGCAGGTAAGTCTCATAACCAGAGAGACAAACATCCACTACTTTTGCAGCCCTAGGGTGAAAACTGAGTGAACAAAGCTGTCTGTTTCCATTGTTCCTATGTAAAATACTTAAAACATGTTGACTTTTCTGATGGAAATTCTGAGCAGGACTCTTTTGCTCTGAATTCAGAACAAAATGAGTTTTGTTTTTGCTTTTTTGTTTCATATACCCACACAAAGTGCACTCTGATTAACCTGAAAACAAGATTTTCAGTCTGTCTCTAACAACCACATCAAAGGTAATCTGGGTAGTGTCGTGGCTTTTTCTTCCAAAGCTAAATTATGCTTTATTTTGTCAATGACTTGATGGCACATAATCAATCAATATGTTTCTATCTCTCTCTGCTGAAAAACAAAAAGTACAAATGCAGTAATGGTACCTGCATTTGGATTACTGTTTTGGATATGATTTTTAATAATTTTGTCATTGTATGACAAGTCTTGGAAGGAAATCTTCTATGTATGTATAACATACCACTCTGTAGGCAGGTAGAAAAAAGGGCAAGAAGCAACTTTTTCAGATAAATAGGTACTTTGTGACAAGTTACAACACCTGTGGCAACAATTTTAAAACAGCACCAGTAATCTTAAATTCCAAATGTATTCTCCAGTCCAGAAATATTGGTAGTGACTGATTTAAGAAGTTCAAGACTACTCAAAATGTATCTATATATCTCTAAGCATTTTGTTCATAAGTCACAAATAATATAAAGTTTTCAGTTTGTTGAGTAATTAGGGCCAGAAGTTTATCTTTCCAATGTTGAATGACAAATCTCTAAACAACAAGAAGGGTGCAGACAATCCATTTCCATTGTTGAGCTGTCAATTTCCTTGTAGTAGGTACATAATTCAAAAGAATTTGGATATCCATAGACTGTGTAGGGATGATTATAATGAAATAAATTCATGCTTTATGGAAATACATATGCATATACATGGTTGTTTTCTTTTCTCTCTCTCTTTTAATTAAATAAATGAAGTAAAAAAAGTATCCTTTACAAGCAACATAATTTTCTGCTTGATGAGAAACTAAATCACAGACAAGTCATACTGTAGTTCTTTGCTTCTATTGGTTCTTAGTAAGACTAATCAATCTGAAATACTGACTACTACAGACCTGAATAAATTTCACTTGAACAGAACTATCTCTTAAAGTATGCAACAATTCAGACTGAAAAATCTTGAAGATGGCCTAGTTTGCAGGGTGGGGAAGAATCAGTTCAACTTCCCTGTGAGTACTGAACAAAAAATAAAGTGCAAGAACTCTGGACAAATGATAAAGTCTAACTGTCCTCAAGCAAGTTGTAATCACTTGAGAAGACAGCACAGTTTCCAAGCAAAGATTAACATTTCATGTTTTAATAAAGTATAAGTGAGAGAGAACATGTCCTTCTGAAACTATAATATTTTTAGTAGAAAAAAAATCTACTGAGAATAGCTGTGACTGCATCTATATACTACTAAAACTCTCCTGTCTGTTTGTAACCTTCAATTGGCTGAAACGGTGCATCATAGGGCAACAATTTTTGAAGTAAGGTACCTCAAATGGGCTAACTTAAAGAATGTTTCCAAAATCCAGGATCCATGACTCTTGTGGATTGAAATTTCAAGGATCTTCACACAAGTTCTATTACAAAGTTGTGGCCACTGCAGGATCAGTGGTTAGCTGCAGTCACATTATTGTGGTTTATGACTACACTTCCAAAAAAACCCATAGGTTGCATGCCACAAGGGAAGATGGGAGGGGTGTATCTCCGCCCTCTGTCCTGCCTCCCTCTGGCCCTTGCACCCAATTGGCTGGTGGCAAAGCCTGATGGGCGAGTGGCAATTGGTTGCTTTGGAAATGAGGTCAAAAACTGGAATCTGTTAACAGTGGTGGGCGGCAAGGAAAGGATGAAGGAGTGACTCGGATGCCTGCTAGTGAAGTAGGGCTGGCTGGGGGGCACTGGTGGTTGACAGGTGAGTCCTCTTCCTTCCTGGAGGGGCCCTTGGGGATACGCCAGGATGGGAAGCAGGGGTGCAGTTTTCCTCACGGTTCACAGCTCCCTTTGTTCCCCAACCCCCCAGCAAAGTGGCAGGTAATTCTGCAGGTCAAGGAGGAGGAGGAGGAGGAGGAAGAGGCTTCACCGGGACTCTGCTGAGAATTGCGAGGGGAGGGGAAATGGTGCCAGCCTATATTATATGTGGAAAGAAGGATGACCCAACAGGTTATGAGTTGTCTAGTAGATGTCAAACCTACCAAAAGAAAGCCAGAGACAGGATCATTTTTTTTTTTTTTTGGTTTATCCTCCTTCTCCAAAGAAAGGGTAGCAAACGTAGTACTATGACAACTAACAAGTACCAATGACTGTTGAGATCAGTTTTTAAAGTAGGATTTCGAACAGAGGTTCCTAAGAATGGCAAATACTTGATTCAAAACCTTTTTTATGCTTACATGCACAATCTTCATTAAGGGGCAGTTTCAGAAATGCAGGCGCTCTTTTGAGAAAGGACACAGTTAGGGTCACTTCTTCTCCAGCATTTCGAAGAACTTGGACCTGAGGAATAAGTTAAAAGAATTGATAAAACATTCTCCCTGGCACAATTAGCTTTCCTCTCTTGCTTATTTAACTGAATAAGAAAACTATAAAGTAAGACTGAAAAGCACCTTCTTTGCTATCTTTAGATTTTCTTTTGAATTCTTCAATGATTTTTTTTTTAAAAGTACTTGCCCAACCTAAACTTCTGCTTGACAAAACAAGCAAGCAAGCAAACAAACAAACCCTTCATTGCACAGGGATTTGAACTAGGCAATTTGGAAAGAATGTGATTTAAAACATGGAGTTTATATCAGTAAAGCTCCATAAAATCTACAGAAAACTAGATCCTGGAACTGACACCAAGCAGAATAAACACCTTATCTGCAAAACCTCAGTGCTGACATCAGGACTCAAAACAAGGACAAAGTAATATCAGAGCACTTCAGCCATCCAGAACACTCCATAGCAGACCTCAAAGGGGTTGTTTTAGAAAAGCAGGACCTCAACAGCACTGCTGAGTGAGAAATAGTTGAACTCATATATTTCAAAAAGTTTCAGGCAATCGCAGAAGGTCTCAGCAAACACAATGGGTTTTTAACACATAATTATTTGATATGTTACTTGTAATCTGTCTCACATGTAATTCTGCATCTGCATGACCAACCTATCCTCCCCTCCTTTCCCCTTCCCCTTCCCCTTCCCCTTCCCCTCCAACTCACCCTAATTTAAACCCTACATCAGACTAGCCACTCTACATCAGATGAAGTGAGCTGCAACTCACAAAACTTAGGCCTCTTAATAAAATGTGTTAGAAAAGGTGCTACCAGACTCATCCTGATTTTTTGCCACCATAAATTAACATGGCTGTCCTCCTACAAAATCTGTATCCCATAGCAGATCAGTTCACTGCAATATCCCCAGAACATTTCAGAGCCTGCAGTTATAGGCCCCATTAAAGTTCCTCTTCTTCACCCACTGTCTCATTTTATCTTAGGCCTGACCTTCCATGATTTAGCATTATTGTCTTCTTTTTGCTGATTGCATAATTTTCACAATCTTGTTAGCTCATCTAATCTTGTACTAATTTGTGTTTTGTGGGACTACGGCTATATTTTCTATGTTTTGTGCATTGTACTTCTTTGTCTCTACCATAACCTATGACTTACTCAGGTAGAGTGGAGGCACACAGTGGATTGTGGTTGCCTCAGGTTTTTGACCCAGGATGTTTGTTTTGTCACCTTAGTATACTTCTGCTGAGACTGATGTGCTTCATGATGATGATCTTTTACTGCTATGATCAGAATGGAAAAGAATGTTGTCCATCTAGGACCCTGTAAGAATTTATCATTTGTATCTCAGGGAATTATGCTTAGATATAAAAGATGTGTTCAAATCTTAAGATTTGAGAAGTGAGGGTACTGAGGAAGTTTCATTCCTATGCGTGTTGTCTTTCTGTATCTTCTCTCTCTGATCATCTGTAATAGGGCAGTAAGTATTATCTTGCATAGAGCAAGAGTTTAGCATAAATGTTATTGTTAATCAATATAGTATTAAGAAAAGTAGTTTGTATTGTTGATTTGTGTCTGTGTATATTAGTGGGAATATTTAAGACCACCAAACAGATACAAGTGCTCATATTTACATTCTGAAACTGGGATTTCTCCTCAAAGACCATAGTGAATGACAACCCATAGGAGAGGCTACATTAAACTATTAATTAAAATTTTCTACATTGGGCAAATATATTGAAGCAAAGCATGCATACCAGGGCACACTGTTGAGAAATCTATGTGCAAACCATTGCACAAATCAGAAATTTTAGGTTTTGTCCCCATCTCTATCAGAGGCCATCCTGTTTCGCAATATAGCTGAGAAATATTTCAAAAACCTGTTTAAAGCAAGAACAAAAGGAAGGAAACCTAAAAAGAAGCCTCTAGTCATGCTATTGTATCAAAAAAGCCCACAACTTGAGCTTGATACCCAGCGTCTGTATCTACGAAGTGGTTTTGGCAGTAATACAAAACGGGCTCTGAGATGCTTTTTTTCTAGTCTTCCCAACAGCCCTGGAATTCTCGAATGATCTCCTACTGTGATGGAATGGAATTATGAAGGCCAGGCTCAGGGAGAAGGGAAGATTGATGTCAGGCCTAGCCCAAGGTACTCCAACAGACCATGTAAATTCAGTCCAGCTATGTTTATTAGCTACAACCTCTAGCAAGA